ACTGCTAAAAAGAGTTCCAAAATCTCAATGTCAAATATAATGTACGTATTAAAAACGTCTTTAAATCTTTGAAGTCAATGGAAATAACATAATTATGTTATTTTCACTTAGTCTAGGTTATTCCCACTCAGGTATGACGATAGAAATACGACACCATCGTCAGTGTTGTGACGACAGAAATATGACACTGTCGTCAGTGTCATGATATATATTTTATGACATATTTTTAACGATAGAAATGTGACACCATCATCAGTGTTGTAATATATATTTTATAATACATAGATAGGTTATAACACCTTAGCCTAATCCTTCTATATTTTTTATTATAACCCAAATTCGATAACATTACTTGTATGCTGGTTTGGTAATTATGACCGATTTCCGTCGTTAGGCCACATGGGTAAAAAAATATATACCTGACGATGCATTTAGTCATGTGTCATTATGCTATATACATGTTATCAGATCATGTTATTGTGAGTTTTCTTTAAGCACTTCTGATTTTTCTGCCATTTTCTCTAGCTTTTTCCGGTAATAATGTTTCATATTTTGATACTTACCACCATGCCTTGTACATATTGCCAATATAGAAAAAGTTAACTTATCACACTTTTTACATGGTGTACACATAGAAGAATTCCTGTTAACATGACAGTCTTCAACTTCATATTCCTTGTTGTATACTTCTTCGCCACCAAATAAATCAATCATATTTACGCTAAATTCTTTAACAATATATATCACATAGAATATTTAATGCAATCGGGACATGCTATCAACTTTGCTATATACACATTATCACGAGTTTAATGATCCGATTGCGACTGATTTCTGTTATGGGCAAAAAAATATACTGACGATGCATTCAGTTATGTATCGTCATTTGCTGGTCTAATGTTACCTACCTATTGCTATCGATATATACATCATATTCTTCTGCCATTTTTTTTATAATATGTTACTGCACTTGAATACCCTTGATGACATACACGCGAAAACATACCCAAAAACATATCATTGAAAGGGTATTCTTCTGCCATTTTTCTTATAATATATTACTGCACTTGAATATTTCGAACACATATCATCGCATCGAAACAGGTATATAACTTCCATAATTCTTATAATATATTACCGAACTTATATACCCAAAGTATTCACTAATCAAAACGGGTATATAACTTCTATAATTCTTATAATATATTACCGAACTTATATACCCAAAGTATTCACTAATCGAGATCGCAATTCTCTTCATTTATCTCACTAAAACTCGATGCATTTTTTTTTGACATCTCTTACCAGGCATGAAAAAAATTAATTTAAACTTTCGAAAATAACTGATAGATTCATAACATAAAAAAACCAAATACCAAAAATGAGTAAACAAAGCGCACAAGTGATCCAGTACGGGGACGGGGAAACTTTAGTCAGGAATCCAACTTGCAACGATATTATTTCAGAATGTGATCTTTAACAAAGCTTATCTGATAAACAGCCTATATACTTTATGCCAAACAATGTGAATGATACCACTGAGTATATAAAAAATGTATCAACATATATTCTACGTATTTACGACACTTTGATTAATGGGCAAAAATCTAGAGTAGATATTACAGGTATTAAACCTTTCTTTGATATCGCTGTGTCTGATAACGAACCTTTATCTGCATTCAAATCAAGATTGGTGAAAATTATATCAGGAGCAGAAAAAATTGACAAATCAAAGTTTGGAATAAATATTGTCTATGCATATCCAATTCGTGGTTACCATACTGAGAAAAAGATGTATATTCGTATCATTACATGGAATCATTATGATAGGACACGAATTTTAAAAGAAGTTCGTAAGCATAACATTGAGACAGCATCAGATGATATTACCAATATGCATTATTACCGAAAAGTAGCTCATGAAAAAAAGTTACCTCTTTCTGAGAGAGCGATACTAAGTGACTATAACTATATTTCTGATACAAATTCATCACATTATTCTCATTATTTTCGCATATCTGTAGATAACTATTAGTCTTTAGAAGAGAATAAACTAAATGGTCGAATAGTCCCTGAAGCTCCTTTATATGATCACACACTTGTTCTTACATGGGATATAGAAACATACAGTGGCTGTAAAATGGGAGATGTGCCTAATACGAGAAATAATGAGGATCGAGTATTTATGATTTGTATAATAGTTCATTGGAAAGATAATCAAAACCATTAAAGCAAATATGTTTAGTTGATGTAGAGACGGAACCAGATCCCAGATGGATTACAATAATATGTGGAAATCAGACCAACTTACTGAAGGCATTTGCGTTATGTTGGAAACATTTAGCTCCAGATATACAAATCAGATTTAATGATTCGCAGTATGACTGGCCTTTCATTATAGAAAAAGCCAAAAGTTTAGGTATCCTTGAATGGATGTTTAATCACATGTCACCCGACTCATCCAACATTGAAGAAATTATAAAATGGAAATATCGAAGAAGTGAGATAAAGATAGATGATGAAAAATTTTATTCAAAGTATCTTAAAATCCCAGGATGTATACCCATTGATGTTCGTGCTTGTTTCAAAAAGTTATACTTAAAATCAGAAGCAAGTTCACTGAAATATTATTTGGGAGAATGTGGATTGGGTAGCAAGGCGGATATGTCAATAACTACTATGAACAGAATATATGAAGATGCAATACTCCACCCCTCTGATATATCAGCTAAAAATATGTGTGAAGTTGCAAATTATTATGTTATAGATACATTACGATGCCAAGAGTTTATGGTTAAACATAATGTAATTAATGACTATAGAGAAGTATCATCTATTGCATATGTTTCTCTTTCTGATTTTCATTATTTTGCGGAGGGTATGAAAGTATGTAATCTTTTGGAGCAGTAATATATTGTGTAGTATGATTGCTTCAGAAAATACAGAATCTGGTAAATATCCAGGAGCTTATGTTATTACACTGATAAAAGGTCTGGAAAACAAACGTCCAGTAACAGGTTTAGATTTTGCCTCCCTATACCCAAGTCTTATAATGACATACAACCTTTTACCAGATAAAATTATACTATTCCGCGAAGAAGCGATAAATGTAATCTGTAGTGGAAAAAAATCCACATGATTAAGTTTCTATTCAATGATCGAACTATCAAAGCTTGATCTATTCGCCATAATAATATACCTGAAGAAAAGGATTTATATGCTAGAGTGTTGGAAAATCTATTTAATAAATGAAAGAAAATGAAAGAAACCCTTAATGAATTGGATAATAAAAGTTTCAAATATAGTTGCTTAGACTCAAAACAAAAGGCAGTAAAATTATATATAAATACATTTTATGGTGAGGCAGGTAATAATCTCTCTCCATTCTATCAACTTCAATTAGCAGGTGGAGTTACTTCTGCTGGACAACGTAATATTAAATTTGTTAGAAATTTTGTTGAAGACAAAGAGTTCGGTGTTAAATATGGAGACACTGATTCTTTATATCTCACATGTCCAGAAGAGTGTTTCCAAGAATATAATCAAAAATATAAATTAGATCAACTCTCACAAGAAAAGTACTGGGAGGAAATGGTAAAAATATCTATGAAAGTGATAGCAAATCTCCGTAATGAAGTAAATACTGAGTTTGAAAAAGACAATAGAACGTCTTACCTTAATATGATATATGAGGAGGTCTTATTTCTCATGGTATTTATAAGAAAGAAAAAATACTATGGTCTTGAGCATAAAAATGAGCCAAATTTCAATCTGGGTAAGCTTTTCATTAAAGGGGTAGATATTGTGAAAAGAGACCAATCTAAGCTTTTTCGTGATGTAGGTAAAAAAATTATGAATAGAACTTTGAAAGTTGGTAATGAGGAGACAATATATCAAATTGTTGAAAAAGTTCTTTGGAAAAATGTGGAAAAACTTTCCAAGTTAGATTATGATGAATTTATTCAGACATATATATGGAGGTCTAAAAAGGAAGGTAAGCGGGGAAATATTTCTGTAGAACAGTTTGTTTCGCGAATGGAGGCTAAGTATTCTCGTGAAATATTAGAAAATCAACAGCTTATAAAGAAGGGTTTACCCGCTAACGAATACCTATATAAAGTCTCCAAATCCGGTGAACGATTTAGTTACATTGTAGTAGTACCTGAAGAGATTTATGATAACTGTGGGAAAAAAATACCACAACAAAAAGGAGACTGTATGGAATACCCAGATGTGGTAAAAAAGTTCAACAAGAAAATAAATATTGATTATTATATCAAAAGTCTATTTGGTCTCTGTGCCCATTTTATAAATTATGATGATAAATATCAACCATCGCCTGAATCCCTCTCAAAAGTCTTGGATCGCAAAAAGAAATCCAAGGAGAAAAAATTAAAAATTGCTAAGGATTTATTGCAGAGCAATGACTCTCTGAGTCTAGATGAAGATGAAATAGCGAAAATTAAAGATGAAGAGTCACAGAAGTCAGCTAAAAAATGGCTCAAAAATTATATTAAGAACTTGCGTGATGCACCGAAAAAAGATAAAGCTATTATCTCCCATTTATGAAAAAATGCTACTGCTCATGCTGAAAAAATATGTTTTGGTATTAGCGAAGCTGGTATAATCAGGTCTTCAGGCGCATCTACTAGATATAATGATTATTTTAATGCATTAGATAAAATTGCAGACTCCACTTGTTCGAAATTATTGGATCTACTTTCAAAATTGTCTAAGCTTAATGTAGAATATAGAAATACGATGTATGATTTAATTACGCAGGCGCAAAAACACAAATCCAAAATTACAATTCTGGAGCAGTATATATTTCTATATGATTTGGAATCAGAGTGTCGAGAATTAATAGATTTCTGAAATACATGGCATAGGGTGATTGGCCTTGAAATTTCCTGGCTTCAAGCATTATCAATCACATATAGCAGTAAAAAAGATGAACCATCAGACATCGATTGACCTATATTGTTAAGTATTCTTAGCTAAGATCATCACAATCAACTAAGATATTTATACAATATTAATAATATTTTTTCGTACATAAATAATATCCAAGTTTAAATAGATGTTCGCCTAATCCACATATCCCGCAATCGATCACTTTTTTTATGACCCTTTATTTCAAAGAAATGACTCTTCAAGTCCAGAGTCGCTCCTTCGGGCCTGCAGAGCAATGGTACTTCGAGCTTACCTACATTCCATGTACGTCTTACAAACCACATAACTGCAATAATCAACAAAGCAAGTAACATATATGCTGATAGCGGTGACATCAAAGTGCTTGTCACAGCAGGAAGAGGCAAAGCCTCGAGACTAGATTTCATCGCTCCTATTCCTCCTATCAGAATCTGAGAATTCGATTCAATTAAAGCGGACATATTATTATCCGGTTGTATAAGACGCAGAGTCGCATTTTGAGACATAGTCTCTGATGTATTGGATTTTATCGATATATCTAGTATATCATTCTTGTTAATTTTACTAATGTTAGTTCTCTCATTTATCTTAGGGCTGATCTCAGTACCATTTTTTGGTAGTTCAGTAATTTCATTATTAGTATATGTCAAGATATCATTATCGATTTTTTCAGTTTGATCCATACTTTTTCTGCGTACAAAATACTTACTTAGATTTTTGCTAGATTCATTAGACACGTAAGTGTCATGATTCAAAGAAGAGACAGAGTCTTGAATCTCTGATTCATCGCCTAATGGCCTGCTTTGCAATATTACAGATATATCGTCAGACTTGGTTATGGAACTTTGTTCCTCGCACAACGTATTTTTTTCGTTATCTCCACTGATTATAGATCCTGATATATCCTCAGGTTTCAGACGCTCCAATTCACTAATTTTTAAAGCTAATTCAACTATCTTAAACTTGAGAGAGTCGATTTCGGACCCTTTCTTTGATGAGTCTTTCTGAGATAAATCTAGCTTATCTTTCAATAATTTTATTCCATTCCAAAGCAATTTAATCTCCTCTAATTTTGTAGCATGTTTAGCCTTGGATTTCGCAAGAGATATATCTTTGCGAGCATTTTCAATCTGTAGATGTCTGTTCTCTTTAATAAGTTCCAGATCATGAGTGTGTAATTTCTGGATCTCAGTATTAGCCCCTCCTAGTTTTTTACTTCATTTCTTCCTATCCTGATCCCGTCCCTTTCTTTCTTGATCAAAATTCTCTTCTTGCTTTATGTATTTATCCCGCAACTTACTGTTATAGTTACACAATTTAGAAGAAGATTGGAGGATACGATGTATTTCATTCTCAAGATCTTTCACATAGATCATATCAAATAATAATATAGAAAAAAAAACCAATTAAATACTAAATAACTTATATTAGTAATATCTATAAATCACAAACTTCCGATATCAAAAACTATATTAATATCTTGTATATAATAAAACTATAGCGCTTAATGAGATTGAGAAATCGTCTAATATAATGCCTCCACATTCTCAGATTAAATCTCACAATATTCACCTTTCTACCGAAACACAAAAAATGATAAGTTTTTATTGCACTGCTTGTGGTCATACTAATCGAATGTCGACTGAGGATATTAATCAAATACTAATAAAAATGAATAAATCGAATATTTACCGAAATAGAATTAAATGTTAACCGAATAAAGTTAAATATTAACCGATATATCTAAATCGAATATTTACCGAAATAGAATTAGATGTTAACTGAATGATCTAGATATATCAAAACAAAATTGGATATTTACCAAACAGTCTAGATATGTATCGAAACAAGATTGAAAAATTTTTGAATTTATATCTAAATATTTTATTTTTATTTTTTATAAATAGATCATGACTCAAAACTCTGAAAAAATAATTTGATATCTGCGATCTGATGCAACTCCTTTATCAGATGATAATATACAAGATATCATTAATGCCAGAAATTCGATGAAACGTGCATCAGAAGCTATGGCTATCAAATATAAAATATCAACAAGGCGTGTATATCAAATATGGAGAGAAAACCATCCTCCAATAGATCCTAGGGAAGTGATATCGCAATCAAATATTGGTGAAGACAATACTCAATCTATTAATCACATTACACATTCTGTAGAAACTCCTATCGTTACTTCTGATATACAGATAAAGAGGAAAAAACTGAGATCTAAGACTAATCAAATTTCTGATCCATCTAATATTATCACCGGGGGGAGTCACACAGTGAATAGTAAAATTAATACTGCTGAAATTATAACAAAAAAAGATGACCTATATACTTTAATCGAACGTAATCGCAAAGAAATGGAAGAAGCTGAGCGTGAAACGGAAAGGATTTTGAATTCCAACTAATCTATCTTTGCTTTCTCTATATCGATATTAGTAATCTTTTCATTTAAGTTATCAGATTCGTTTTTATAGCCATTGTGTGACTGTCTTTGGCAAACCCGCAACTTTTTATTGAGTTCGATTAATTTAACATTGGAATCGAGTATTACATATAGCGATTTTTCTAACTCCTCATAACTCATGCGTTTTTTTTTAACGATGGATCATCAGAATCTGGGCTGAAACCCACAGGAGCATGCCATTCTTCTAATGGTACGTTGTTATCCTTATCACTATCCGTTTCTTGAGAAATTTGATTACGTACCAAATGCCTATCATTCTGAGATATAGTAGTGCAATTTACTTCGAGTTTATTCTTGACTTTGTGCATAGTAACTGGAATAATAAAATCTTCTCCATTATAATGAATCTTCATTTTATCGTTACCCCAATCTACAGCACATTTATATTTTTTAAGAAGTGGGTTTGGGAATATTAATGTCAGTTTAAGAACTTGTACAACTACAAAATCTTTACGTATAGTAAAACCTGGAGGAAATGTTATCGGTAAACTACGAGTGATGCCGATAGATTCCGTTGGTACAGTAGCAACGCTACTGAGATCATATTTTTCCGATTTATCTATTTTTCCGTCTAACAATATCTTCTGATACGATCGCAGGTTCGGCGCCACTATCTCGTACCAATGCAGGAATTTTGAGGCGTTTTATCTTAACTGATATAGTTGCAATACTAATTACTGGTTCTTTCCGACGGACAAAATCAATCTCCATAGGATCGTTCAATGTTTCCTCTTCATCATCTGATTCGGATATTTCTGGGACCAGCTCTCGAAAATTTATAAAGTCAGGTTTTGCAGGCCCTTCAGGAGTGACTCTTCGAGTCATAGATAAATTCGTATTATTAATATTGTTTTTAATTGTTTCTATAACCTCTGGATCATTAAACA